GCAATCAACCAATACTGTCTCAATTACTGAGCTGGGCTGGGTGTGTCCAGGAGCCACTTGGCTGGCCGGTCCATGCTCCAGGCCCCCAGAGAGGAAGCATCCAAGCTACTGTCAGGGCCTGAACTCCTTCGTGCGACCACTGGATGAGGGCCTCAGGGTTCACTTTGAACTCACTCAGTGGCTGCTACGGACAACAGGTTTCAGGTCTTCAACTGAGGCAGTGTCATTTACAACCTAATACTAGGGGTAACAAACGACCATTTCTGCCATATGTGAGCACAGAGCCTTGCAGGAGGGGGAACCAGGGAAGGGAGTGAGTTCCGGAAGGGTGATCACGGGAACCATCTGGAGCTTGCCAACTACAGACTCCCACAAGGGACACAGCAAAGGAAGAGGACTTCATAATGAACACAGAAGAAAGCCAGAAAGGCTTAGGCTAGTTCCTAAAGGACAGTGTAAAAAGGGAGATCTTCCAGAAGGAAGGGAAGATTCCATATGCTAATGAGCCTAAGAGGTAGGGCCAAAGGAGCACAGAAATTAGACCACTGGACTTGGTGATTTTCTTCTGCTGATACCCAGATGAGGAATTCTGGAGGAAGGATCTGGAAGGTTAAAGGGCCATCTAAATCAGCCAGAGATTACTCCAGGGAGCACCCTTGACTTGAGTTATGCTGGTGGTGGGTGGTGATTCCTACTGCTTTGCGGAAGCTTCCTCACCATCCCCTCCCCCGGTGGCTAAAGATTAGCACATACTCACATTTCATTTCCTCACTCCTTGAGATCTCCAGAGCCACCACTACCATCTGGAAACTTGGGGCTTCTATCTGTGGTGTACAATTTATGTCCATCCCATGTGGCTGGGATGTCTACAAAGCATCCCTGTATAGTAACAAACAGAAGCTCTAGGCAAAGCTGGGCAGGAGCCCCAGGCTGACAGCTGAAGGTATTCATGCCTGTGAACTACCTCCAGAGAAGACTTGAGCCTTCACTGAAACTACCTCCAGCTCCTCAAATCTGGTAGAGAGGCCCCTAACACGGGTTTCATGCAAAATCCTTCTAAATCATCTCCACAGTTCTGAAAGAGTTCCAGAGAGGGCAGCTTCCTGCCCAAAGCTCTCATAAATCAAGCACCGAGAGCAACGTAAGGGCTGAGCTGGAGGCCCAACTAGAACTCAGTGTGCCCTCATTTCTTTCCTATGTGACCTTGAACAAGTTCACCTATTTGGATATAAATCTGGGAATAAGAGGAGGTTGTATACGTGTACAGCACTAACCCCTGGAATGGAGGCCTGCTGAGAAAGTGCCAGCTCTGAGGAGCGCCAACACATGCTGTTTTCACAGGCACTGCAGGCAGAACAGTTTTGGGGTTTTTTTCGCCAAGTGCTTGGATTAGAGATGGGGTAAGTTTAAAAATCTGTGTCCACCACCCACCTTCCCCACACCATTTCTTTGCCTGGCGTGGCATTCAGGGTCTTGGGCAGGTCAGGAGAGGAGCTACGTAAGACAGAAAGCTCTAGGTCTTTTCCTTGGAATACTCCAGAGACCCTAAAAACATGTCTTCCAGAAGCCCTTCTCACAATATGAACCTAGGTTCGGGAATCAGAGCCATTTAGAATCAGATTTCTCAGGCTGAATGATCCATGCAGGGATTAAGACCCTTCCACAGGGCCCTCCCTCCTCCCCAACCAGCTCCAGGAAACTCATCTCTTCCCTCAATGCCCATCCTACTCCTGGGTGACCAGTTGCTAGAACACATTCTCCCAGTATGAGCTAGAACTCCCTACATCTTCCACTCACTGCACTCCACAGGATAAAACCAAAGTGGAAATTAGACTCTCTCCATATAATACCAACATTTACCATTGTTCTGAGCAACAGGGCCTCAGGCACACTCTGTATGACCTCCTGCTGTAATAAGATTGCCTCTTATTACACAGGTTCCTGCCTCACTCACAACCCAGGTTCCCTGCCCTCCCCTCTGCCTTTCCTCTGCCTCCCACCAGCCTGTTGAAAGTGGAGCTCCGGGGCGTCCACTAATCCCTTAAGAAACACTGCTCCTTCTTCCGCTGGGCTCATTAGTGATGCAGGGTCAGACTTGACTGTTTGGGGCTTGCCTTCCTTCTTATCCAAGTCCTATTTTAGGGTCTAGCCACTGCTCCCCGGCAGTCTTTTCTCTGAACTTCAAGAGATCTGGGGAACTTTGCCTAACCAGGCTTCTCTCTGCCCCAGGGGGCTCCACAAATGCACTTAATGGTCCTATGCCCACTCTGTGCTTTCTTCCAAAGGGATTCACGCTGTGGGTTCTCTGTATTTTGCTTCTAATATGAATATTTTCTCCCACCATCGGACTACCAGCACATATCCAGACTAGAGGAGGGCAGGCAGCCCCAGTGTAGAAGGGTACCCTCAGGTCTTGAAGAACATTCAAACCTCACGATCTTTAATTCTCTACCTGAATCACTCTGAGCCCAATACAAGAGAAAAGTCTGCTTAGGAAAAAAAGGCTGTGAATTGAGACCCATTCAGACACAATCCACCAAGTTAGACAATGCATTCTGCTGTAACTGGAAGCTTACTGTAGGCACATGACAATACGGATCAGGTAAGTTCAGCAGCTCCCAGAGTCAGCCATTGCCAGGGACTAAATAGACCCCACCAAGCAAGGCCAGGAAGGAGACCGTGTCTTCTGAGCAGAGGGATCAGACACAAAGCACAATCGGTTGCTATTGTCCAAGTTAAAGCAAGTGACTGCAGAGTGGCCACCAGGGCTTCCCAGCATGCTCAGAGAAAAAGAGACCATAAAGAAAGCTATGGAACCACGGAGCTGCCCAGGCCAGGCCCCCGGCTCGTTCCACAGTTCAACTCACTCACAGAGAGCCCCCCTAAACCTGCATTTGGCATAGGGGATACAGGCTGTCAAGACATGTCAAACCTGAAGAAGATTGGTATCGATATTCTGTTAATAAACAAATTGCTTGTTAATAAATGCAACCTGCTAATCAAAGAAGTAAATGTGCCAAGTTATTCTCTCTCTCTCTCTCCTCTCTCTCTCCCCTCTCTCTCTCCTCTCCTCTCTCTCTCTCTCTCTCTCTCTCTCTCTCTCTCTCTCTCTCTCTCTCTCTTCTCTCTCT